CTCCTTTGGGTTCTATTCCTGGGTTACCGGCGATATCCTGTCTCGAAATAAAGGCAAGTGAAGGTAAAAACACCATCAGCGGCAAGTACTGGCTGGATCCAACAGGCACTGGGAAGGCAATATTGATTAACTGTGATATGGCTAGCGGGGGTAGGTCTTATAATTATCTTTACGAGTTAACTTTATTTTATCACAAAATTATATTCATGTTATTTTTATTTTTATCGCTATTATTTGTTTGATTAGTACAGTCCTGGCATGGATACCCTACTCACCTCATTTTATTTTAGCCATTGCCTTCATTCTAAATTCTAGATGTGGATGAATGTAAATATATCATTAGTGACTGCGATGTGAATGCAAACTGCGCTAACACGCATGGTTCTTACAAATGCACATGTAAAGCTGGATACAATGGCGATGGACGCTCATGTTCAGGTACACTTAATTTTATCATCCAAGATGACCATGAATGTGTTTTTCTGTTAACTATTTTACCTCACCTATGTGTGAGGTCTTCTCATAATGGCGAGTGCAGCAATAAAGCAGAATTAATAGTATTGACGTAACTGATGAATGCAGCAATAAATTAAGGTTGTGTCAAGCACTTGTATCGGAGGAAGTAAATCTGCCAAAAGGGAACAATTATAACATGATGTTATACAGATATTTTTGAGTAAAGTGGTGATAAAAAAAAAGTTTGTGACATTAATACGAAATAAACCAAAACAATTCATCGTCAACATCATCGCCAGCAAATCCCCATCATCAACTAACATCATCCTCGTCACATCACTTTGATCATCATCATTGCCGTCACTTTTGTTTACAGATGTCGATGAATGCAGCGATAACATTCATGTTTGCGATGTGAACGCAATATGCACTAACACCAAGGGCTCTCATTACTGTACTTGTACGAATGGATACATTGGGGATGGACAATCATGTAAAGGTACCCGACTTTAGACATTAATTACTGCAGGAGTATAGATCTATATATAGATCACTATATCCAAGAAATAAATAAGCTAACTTTCAACTTTATTTGGGCAGGAAAACCCCCTAAAATAAAAAGAAACACCATAATTGGAGAAAAGAAAGATGGCGGTTTGAAAATGTGCGATTTCAATATCATGGAAAAAGCACTCTAAATAGCTTGGGTCAACAGAATTCAAGATGACTCACAAGCCTCCTGGAAAATTATTCCTAACCAGCTCTTACTCAAACATGGTGGTCTTGCTTTTCTAACAAAATGCAAATTTACACCAAGCACACCAGACCTCGATGATAAGCTTCATGCATTTTACAAAAAAGTGTTAGATTATTGGTGCGAGTTTAAAATCTCAACGGGCATCGATTCCAAAATAAATCCTAAAAACGAAATAATGTGGAATAACAGACAAAATTCTTATAGGAAAAAAACCTGTCTTTTACCAAACTTGGTATGACGCCGGTATTACTAAGATAAGCGACATTTTAAACCAAAATCAGAAATTTTTGAAGTGGCATGAATTTGTCACAAACTTTAATTTAAATGTGCCTTTCACCGCATACTATGGCTTGGTCAACGCAATCCCAAAAGACTGGAAAGCTATTCTTACAAACCCTATTCCAAACGTCACACACGCGAACACTACTGTAAACAGCCTAAGAACCAGTTCTATTTACTCTTCTCTTTTAAACACCGTCTTTGATCCTCCCACTACCGAAACAAAAATTCTACGCCACGGATTTACAAAAACTACCATCAAGAACGTTTATCTTATGCCATTTAAATTAACAAACGAAGTTAAAATAATAATGTTTCAGTATAAAGTGATTCATAACGTGCTTCCATATTGTTGCTGCGGGTTTTTTCTTCGCCTTTGGCAACTTTGTTCATCATTGTGTCGTCCTCCTTAACGCTCCACTTAGCGATCGAGATTAGAAAAAAAAAAATAGTGTCAGCAATGGGTTTCTTTTCCCGGGAAATCTTGATCCATAGTCAGTGACGTTAGGAGGTCCCGTTGTCCTATTGGTCTGCGGTTCCAGGAGGCGAGATAATCGCCTGGCTGTTTGCAAGCCCTTATGAGCTAAAATCTTGCATTTGAGTTTGGGAGGAATACAACCACTTTGAGTGAATCTATGGGGTGTGTAGATTTGACCGATTTTTGACAATGGCAAACGAAAGTGTGTCGGTAAATTTTGATATTTGAAATATTTGTCCCGTGGCGACCATTTACGCAACACGACCCGCGTATTTTTAGCTACCCCAATATAAAGGTGCCGATGTTTAGAAAATCAATCAGAATGTGGAAAAAACCTTACATACGTTTATTGATTGATACCTTGTGAATAACACTGTGCAGCCAATTAGCTCGTGCTGTGGCATCCCATACCCAATAAATTCAATAGAAGAACCTTCAGTCGTTTCACGCCTTAAAGGCTCCTGACACTTCCGTAAAAGAAAAGTCGCTTAAATTCTATTTTCAGCGTAAACTACATTTTCATGCTTTCTTCTGGTATATAGTTTGCTAGGATTTTAGTGAAACTAGCGAATGAATTTTTTCCCGAAGGACACACCCGAAGGTGGGAAGTAACCTAAATGCTGATGACTTCTTAGGTAGTGTTCCTGACTTTTAAATGAACAATTTTGGAGACTAATGCGTGCTTCTGCCTTAAAATTAACCTTATCCCAAAGATTGACAGAAGCATGAAAATAAAATTGCTCGTTTGGCTCTGTACCCTGTGCACAGAGTGGACATGTAAGTGATTTTCCATGGCACTACCTTTTGTTGACGCTTAGGATATATTTGAGTGAAAAAAGTTGAAAATTATTATCATCAAGTTAAAATAGTCAAGATAATACGAGTGCCCTGATTGGTCAAAAAACAATCGTTAAATGCACTTGTAAATCCATGAAAAATTAAAATTTATGTTATTATAGTAACAGACAGCGCTCTCTATCAGTTAACTAGCGTAGTAAACGTCTCCAGATGTTGGGAAACCATTCGGAAAAAAAAGTTAATCACTCACTTCCAGCTCGGAATTACAAACTTTTCTCGTGTTCTCACAACATCCTGCGTGGGTTATCTCGCCAGTAAATTGATAGAATAAGCGATGAATATAGGGGGTAAGTTTCTAAAGAAACTTTGATGCTGCGTCGGTGGGGGAGTATAACAAAATAATTTAGTATTATAAACTGAGTTGGTAACGTAAATTGGCCACCGTTTATAGTTTTAAAGCTGACGCTCGAAACGTCAGCTTCGTAATTCTTTACGGTGGCCAATTTACATTATCGACTCAGTTGATGAAACCAAACTATTTCACTTATCAGATTCATGACAAATGCGAAAATATAATAAAACAAAAGGTAATTCTCGATAATCAAGGCAAATCCTTCTTCAAAATTTACTGAATGCATAGTTGTTCTTTTAAAACACAAGTCCTGTCTGCTTGTTGTCGAACTGATTGATTAGAAAAATTTCAACAAAAATATGTTACCTTTGAAACCACTATCTTTTTGTAATGTCTATTAAATTTAATAGCCGACCCATGTTATAATTATCAAAATCTAGAATAGAAAGAGCAGTTACGCTACACCGTAATTTGGTCCAGTGTTTTGTGATGACTTACCCTCCGAAAGATAGTATTGTTTTGTGGGAGCTGCAGGAACAAGCCAGTTGTTTCAGAGCTGTCAGCTTGTTAAGTTGAAATATTCACAATGAAATATATGTTTGAAACATCTGATTTGTGAAACACACAAGAAAGGAAACTTTGTTTTATTATTCATAATTATCAAAGTAATTACACGACTGAGAGTCCGCCCATTTTTAAAGTGACAATCATAATAAAGTACATATATGTTTTCTCAGATATTGACGAATGTAAAGGAAATCACTCTTGTCACGTGAATGCTACCTGCACGAACACCAACGGATCCTATGTTTGTGAATGCCAGCCTGGATTTAATGGAAATGGTCAAAACTGCACAGGTGAATTTAATCTTTTTGCTGTAATATTTAGAATATTCCTACTCGAATCTAACCTGACGCTGCTGAGGTGGTTACTGTCGGCCATATTATTAGTTTGTCATATGTAAACGATACTGGTTGTGCCTTAAGTCTGCCTAGAGCTGTCTTTTAATGCACTGTCTGAGAAAGAAGGAGCTCAAATCTGGATCCAGCTGAATTCATTCGGTTAATATCACTGTTTTAGCCTCTTGGAGTGATACTATCCTACACATGTACTACTTGACCCCTTAATTAATGCATAGTCATTTTTCTTGTTGAGTACAAATTTCATCTCTGATTGGCGAGCTGCCAGAATTATAATACATTAGAAAAGATCTTGAACCATTGATTTTAATACTCACAGTCCTTTTGCAAATTTCATTTCACTTCGTAGCCGATCCTTGCTATCATTATCAAAACCTGAGTGAAGCCAATAGAAAGATAACTTACGTAACACCTCACGGTCCAGGATTGTGCGACAATCAACTCCGTGAGGGATGGTATCGTTTTGTGGGAGCTGCAGGAACAAAAATGCCAACAACGCGTGTGCCAGCATTCAGATGTGGTACAGACTGGTCAGGCTGGTTGATAACTGCTCATCCTACAGTGGAAGATGGTGAAGTTAGAAGAGAAGTCTGCTTTAGCGATCGCCCTACTGGTTGCAAACGATCATTGAGTATTTGGGTAAAAAACTGTGGATCCTACTTCATCTACTATCTTCAAGAGACACATCCTTGTGCCTCGCGCTACTGTGGTACAGACTAGATATGAAGCAAATACATTTCGTGTAGTAAAAGGATTCATAAATCGAACCGTAGGTACATGTGTATAAGGCTTTTAAAAAGTGAAGTAGTTATCTCTACAGTAAACATTTATCAGCAGGCTTTAACCTTGGTGGCAAACAGGTATTTATTTCATAAGAATGATAATTCTCATCAGATAGCCTCTGTCATCGAAGAGAGTTGCCCGAAGGATCTTCATAGTAATCTTCATACAAAATCTGCAAGGCACAAACTCTCAAGTTTATGGTTTATTTTTCCTTCTTTTGCTGTGATTATTAACTATAGTTATTTTAGCGTAAGTCAATGGAATACAAACAGGCGCTTTCTTACGTTACAGGCGTAGGAAAAAAAACCACCCCTCACCCTCACCCCAAAAGATATGAGCTGGGTCACTGTGTGGCTCAGCTTCTTGAGTGTTGTAAATAGAAGGGCATCGTGTATGTTATCTCATTATTTAACAAAAACTGCGTATCTCTTCGTAGATACATTTACTTAACACGGACTGCTTTCAGATGACTTTCATAACATAAACACGAGAGTGAATGTTAAGGGCAGTGTAGTCCATAGGCCAAGTAGGTTTTCGTTACCACTCATCTGATAAAAGGTTTTGTGAAAGACTTCAAGCAAATTCGCTTGATAGCAATTGCGAAAGAGTAGCTTTCACAATTTCTTTCGGTGGACTTGATATCAATAACCAGAGAAAAATAACAACAACAACAAGGAAATGTTCGGGAAAATGCATGAAACCAGAACCCAGTGAAGTAAAAACAGATCAATCAATCAAAACATATTTTAACTTTAAATCTCAACAACTTAGTAACAAATGGAGAAGGTTATATAAAAAGATCGTAGCGTAAGGAACAGAGAAACGAGAGCAAGGTTTTTTTTTTTTTTTTACAATTAACTAAATGAACTTAATTTTTTTTTATAATTAACCTAATATTGAACATCTTTCTTGATAAAATTGCAAGTAATTTTTACAAGTATCGTTAGCATTCAATTATCAATTCTTATTGAGTAAATAATAATTAAAAAAACCTTGCAAAAAGGCATTTCTTACAGTTTTTGCCTTTGTTAGTGCTAAGGGATGTAAATTAATTTGCTACCCATGGCCGGATTCCATTATTTATCCTGTCGATATCATCTGTTCGGCAAAAGGAAGTAAATAACGTTTTCGTACACCACGAATGTGAGTGCAGATGCTGGCGTTACTTCAATTCATATAAAAGGTCAGTGGCGGATCTAGGGGAGGGACCCGGGGGGCACGGACGCACGGACGTCCCTTTTATTTTGGTTGAAAAACATATCAAACTCTTTCCCCAGCGCGACGAACATTTGTTTTCCTCGGTTCCAGGTGTACGTGACCACGAACCCTACGACAGGCCAAAGAGGGAAATTAAAAAAGCAAAGCAATTTTGCAATAAATACTTAACATACACCCCCGTTAGAAAGGCGAATCCACGATAGAAAAATACAAAACTGTATGATATTGAGATCAGGGAGGTTGACAAAATCAACAAAAGAGGTTGAAAATTCATTACGTTGGTTATAGCACATGCTTCGATGAATGGACACCCTTCAGGGCCGATAGAGGATCTAGATATTTTCCGTTTGCTCGCGGCGAAAAGCAGTTCATTCCCTCGGAAAACTCTCTAGAAGATAGAAAAGAATCGTTCCATGGCCAACTTGCTCGTGAAATAAAGAAAAAGCTTTGGTCTGGACGGCGAGAGGACCCTGATATAAACATAGACCTTAATGTTAACCAAGATGTTTTCATGGAAGGTCTTGGGAGTGTTTTGCCTGGCGTTCTTCAAAGAGGGAAGATGGTTTACCAAGTGGGATGGAAGAATCTTAAATGTAGCTGAAGATTTTGCCTATGTAATTCCAGGAACTATTAAGTATTAGCTGGATAAGGAAGCCCAATCATTGAATACAAGCTCATCGTTGTAAGTGTTCTTAACCCTTTCATAGCCTGCTGCCTCCAGGAACTGAATCCTGTTTTTCTCCAGAAACAGTTGTTTGAGGGCATCAACCCCTTTGTGTGTGGATTTGAAGAAATCTTTAGAAGCTCTATTATTGTATTTTTCCAAACCTTGCTGTGTGTAATATGCTATGTTCTGATAAAGTGACAGGAACTCAGGAACATGATAACATAGTGCATGCATGTAGGGAGTGACTTCTTTTTCTTGGAAACTTTGAGAAAGTGCTCAAACCATGATTTGATATTTCTTTGCAGTTCAAGAATACCCTCTTCACGTGTAAAATCTAGCTTCAAATCACCAAATATGTCCATGAATTTAGCCCAGATCACTTGTATGTCTTTGTTTTGACTGCAATGAGGGACAAGCATAAGTCGGAATGTTCATATTCTGAAAGAGTTTCAACTTTGTTGGTCTAGTAAGATCTCTATATTCCAGCTTTTTGCTCTCTTCGTTGATTCTAAAATTAAAAGTGATTCCCATACTTTTGATAAATTCTTCATAACCGTGCCATTTGTTTATATTTTTCTCTTGGGAATCCATCAGAGGTTTTTTTTTTTTTTCTCAATAGCATCACTTCTTCTCAGCTCTCTTATGAACAAGTCAATCAAAACATCTCAAATCCTCAGAAAAAAAATGTAATGTATATATGATGACATGGTCCATAGGTACAAAATGAAATAATGGTTGTGCCTTACAGTTTAATTTCTTTCCAGTGGAAAACCTTGCTATTTCGGCGACAGTTCTAGCACCAAATTTGGGGTCATTAATAGGGTCCTTTCGACATTCTCGGACGCGTGTTCCTGAGAACTAGAAACCAACATGTGAACGAGGCTTAGAGGACAAAATGGATGCCAGCTCTGATGCGGGCATCTTCAGCACTAAACTAGTTCCTTGGTTAAAAGAATATTTAAAACAAAGAGGCATTCAAAGCTTGGGAAAGCGCAAGAATGAACTAGTAGAACTTTGTGTAAAAAGTGAGGAGATAAAAGTCCCGAAAATCTCAGAAGAGGAAGAGCCAGTCGATCCAGCAATTTCAATGAAAGAGCAACTGAAAACTTACAATGAAGGGTACTTGGCCAATCCGTTGAACAAAGAAAATCAGGCTTTTGGTAAATGGACCCACAATTTTTCGGAAGTACCAGACTTTAGATTTCCTGATCTTTTTAATTATCTAGTGGGAAAGGATCCCGGGTATAACGCCGAAAGCCTAAAAAGTTACAAATCTCTTCTGGGATACAAGTTGTACTTCGATGGACACGTAGAAGACCTTTGTTACCATCCGCCACAATCTAGTGCCAGCAGTTACAGTTATTTTCTGTTTGCTGTAAAGCCAACTGAAAGGTCCAAGGCTGACGATGGGTCAGCAACATATAAGGGTTTTTTTATTTTAAAGAAGGATGGAATTGTGCATTCAGCCTACTGCCCATGCAAAGGAGGGTATGTATTTTCATTTACTCTTACTATAAGGTAATTAGCCTTAAGATGTACAATGAGCCAGAGTCATTTGAAATATATACGAGCTAAAAGTCTAAAATGAGAGATGTATGTTTACCTGTTATGATCAGCTGATGAATTGTTGGACTATTTTTAATGTTAATGTAAACAACATACAGATATGCTATATATGAAATACATTAATTAAAAAAAACCCAGCTAACTAAATGAATAAATAAAAAATGAAACTTGTGTGATAATATATCACTACTAACTTTCAAAGAAAAAAATTAAGCTATTGGCTACATTTCAGTGTACCAAATGTTTCACTCTGCTATAAGATTAATATACAGAAAAAACAAGCAGATGACTGAAAATCACTTGCTTTTTTGATCATTTTATTTGTGTGAGGAAAATGTTTAATAAATATCAGTCATCTTGGTCTCTATTTGATAGGGCAGATGGAGGTTGTCGCCACATAGCTGCAGCACTGTTTGATCTGGAAGCAAGCGTACGATTCAATGATCTCCAGTCATGTACATCAAGACAATTCATGTGGAAAAAGAAAGGAAAGAGAAATGAGGGAAGTTTGCCTATTCAGGAGCTACAAACAAATAGTGGTGGCTATGGTGTGACAGTTAAAGACTCTGCAAAGCCAAGAGATTTTAATCCACTTTGTATTCCTTATGACTCAGCTGAATTAGAACAACAGTTCAAAGCTGGGTTGCTGGAAACATTCCCAGGTTCTTCAGCTCTCCCTTTCTTACATTCAGCTGAAGAACCAGGGCAAACAGAGGAAGAAATCAGGGCTTTGATAAGTGATGATTTAAATGTCAGTAAACAAGAAAGTGTTCAAAGTGTTGATGTTTATTCAATGAGTGATTACGCTAAAGTGTTTGTTTCTGTTAATATTGAAAAAGTGACAGCTACAGTCTCTACAGAACTTGCAACTGAGTTCCTTGAGTTTATTTCATTTAATGAAGAGCAAGCAGAAATGATCAACAAAAAGACTGTCAATCAATCCCAGTCCCAATTTTGGTTTGATCAAAGGGCAGGAAGAATTACAGCTTCCTCATTTTACACCGTGTGCCACCTCAGAGAGAGCACAGACAAGAGAAACACTGTGAAGCATCTTATGAATTACTGTCCAATTGCTGAAGATGCAATGCCAAAACAGTTAACGTCATGAAAAGGAAAAGAAAGCACTTGATCTCTACATTAAAAAACAAAAGAGAAACCATGAGAAGTTGTCAATAAAAAACGGTGGACTAATAGTAAACACACTATGGCCCTTCTTGGGAGCCAGTCCTGATGGTGTCAGGATTTGTGAGTGCTGTCAGAAGAAGTTAATTGAAATTAAGAGCATGTATGCAAAAAGAAATCTCCCTCCACAGGTTGCAGCTGAGGAGAAGCTCGTGTTTGTTGGTGACAAATATATACTAAAAAAAGAAACAAAATGGAACTATCAAATTCAGGGTCTGATGGGAATAACAGGGATTCATTGCTGTGATCTAGTTATTTATACCTTAATATTGATTGTCAATGTCAAGTTTGACAGTGAGTTGTGGAACGAAATGCTTGAGAAGCTGAGAAACTTTTTCTTAAAGTACATAGTTCAGGAACTCTTTAACCATGACATACTTAAATCATTATAAGAGACTATCATTGGTGGTGAATGCTGATGCTCAATGCTGGATAATTCCTCAGTGGGTCTAAAGAAGATTTTTGATATGTGTTATTAACCATTAACATAAACTGACTGGTAATTGTTCAAAGTTACAAACTTATTTTGCTTCTCAGCTCACAAGGCAGCAGTAGTTATTTAGCCAGGGGTGGTAGCAAATTGCACAGAGCAGCACACACACTAAAAATGTTGTCAGCAATGGGCAGCATTGGAACAAGAAAGTTCCCATGTAGAATTCTAAAGTCCTTAAGTCGTCCAATGGCACGTTCTACATGGATCCGAACACTGGCAATGGCACGGGTAGATTTTACTGCCTTCTTAGACAGATGCTTTCCTGAGTAAAAAAAGAGATTTCAAATTAAGTAAATGCCAACTTGAGAAGCTACTGATAGAGAAGTACTTGCTGTTTTTCAGTCAAAGCTGTTTATGTTAAATATCAAAGCACCTAGAAAAGAGATCACATATGATGGGAACTGCAGCCTTTATAAACATATTTGTGAGATTGAGTTAAAGTAATGGTTACATGTATCTTTTAGCTCGTATATAGTTCAAATGACTCTGGCTCATTGTACATCTTAAGGCTAATTACCTTATAGTAAGAGTAAATGAAAATACATACCCTCCTTTGCATGGGCAGTAGGCTGAATGCACACTTCCATCCTTCTTTAAAATAAAAAAACCCTTATATGTTGCTGACCCATCGTCAGCCTTGGACCTTTCAGTTGGCTTTACAGCAAACAGAAAATAACTGTGACCGCTGGCACTAGATTGTGGCGGATGGTAACAAAGGTCTTCTACGTGTCCATCGAAGTACAACTTGTATCCCAGAAGAGATTTGTAACTTTTTAGGCTTTCGGCGTTATACCCGGGATCCTTTCCCACTAGATAATTAAAAAGATCAGGAAATCTAAAGTCTGGTACTTCCGAAAAATTGTGGGTCCATTTACCAAAAGCCTGATTTTCTTTGTTCAACGAATTGGCCGAGTACCCTTCATTGTTAGTTTTCAGTTGCTCTTTCATTGAAATTGCTGGATCGACTGGCTCTTCTTCTTCTGAGATTTTCGGGACTTTTATCTCCTCACTTTTTACACAAAGTTCTACTAGTTCATTCTTGCGCTTTCCCGAGCTTTGAATGCCTCTTTGTTTAAAATATTCTTTTAACCAAGGAACTGGTTTAGTGCTGAAGATGCCCGCACCAGAGCTGGCATCCATTTTGTCCTCTAAGCCTCGTTCACATGTTGGTTTCTAGTTCTCAGGAACACGCGTCCGAGAATGTCGAAAGGACCCTATTGACCATGTTTTGCTTGTGTTCCACCGTTGCTCCCTGGGACACTTGCACAACACACAAGCATAATCCTCTTTTTCCCTGCCTAAACCACATACCAGTGCTAAAAAGTTCAAATCTCCACCTAAAAAGTATTCAATTTTATAGGTGCAATTATTTGCACTTATCTCCTTTTAGTTTGACATTTCCATTCGAAGGTCTGCTAGGCTGTCTCTCAGATTATCATATGTCTCTGTAGTTTTAGCAGCAAGTATATAATTTCCCTTCTCACCCATTGCCACATCCTTTTCATGGAGAATAGTAAAAGTGAAGTTGACAACTGTAAGCCCCTTTCCAATATTTGTACCATCACCACTAAGCTTGATCTTAATAGTTTCGCCATCATTGATTTCTCCATTATTCTGAAGCCTAACCATGTGCTTTTGCAAGCTTTCTGCAAATCCTAACTGAACACCTTCAGCATCTCCTGGTGTTGGTTTCAAGTTCCATTCACTGTTTAGCACATTAATTCGCTTCTTGATGGAATATATATTGGGGAGATCATTAGCCTTAATGGCAATTTTGCCAGGCCTCATTTGAAATAATGAATTTATCTTTGAGGTAGAGCCACATATTTATGTTATCAATGTCATCATTATAAAGGGCCTTTAGGTCAGACTCTGTAAATGGCAGCTCTCCATCTCCAACAAGATTGAAAGTTTCATATTGATTAGTGTCAGTGTCGAGGACTTCAATTTTGGTTGCAACAAAATTGTACAGCCCAAGAAAGGAGAGTGTAGTTTGGCACTCCTGCTTCAGTTGGTTTTTAATCTCTTTTGATTGTGCTTAGAATAGTCATTAAACTTCTTCTTAGCTGGGCCTCTACCTTTTTTCCCATTTGCAATCACTTTTTTGGCCAACTGAATAATTTTTTTATTGTAGAAGGCCCCTTTCTTCTCAGCTTTTTCGAGAGCTTCTTGGGCATTTTTATCTACTCGCAATCGCTTTGCCTTCTCCTGTACCAACGATTCTTCTAATTATATTTTTTTCTCCCCTAAACTGGCTGTTCTCATCTTTAAGCTGATGTACACCAACCTCGTTGTAATACACCTTAAATCGATACCGAGGGCCCGTTTCCAAATTGCTTAGAAGTGCATTTAATTGCCACGATTACTAGCTTTCTTGATAGCTTTCTGAAAACAGAATATTTTCTTTCTGAAGACTTCTGATATATGACTATTGATTAAACACTTTGGATGGTAAAATGTTCGAAAATCACACTCAATTTGAGTGGGGCGTTGTATTTGTACCCCATGAGTTTGATATGAAAAAGAAGAATCGCAGAAGGATGAAAAGCCGGCGGGACAAGGAACAAAAAACCACGCCTTCTCTTAGCTCAAGGTGTAGACCCGCTACTGAAGATTCTTTAGGACTAGAAGTTATTAGGATCTCACAATTCTAACTTAATTTAGTAATTTTAAATAAAATTTGTTCAAAACTTCCCTTCTATTGTTCAGTCGCATGCCACACTAAGACGATGTTAAAAAGATTGAGCAGCCCCGCGTAAAAAAAGAACAAGCAACCTAGAAAAACATGAAAGCGAGTCTTCATTGGTATACAAGTTTTACATTAAAATGATTGTCATTAATAGCTTTTAGGATCTGTCATGCCTCTCATTTTTCACCTTTGATTTCCATCCATAGAAGACCTGTGTATTTGTTTTAACACGATGATGGTCGAATTCTACTTTGGTTCAACTTTCCCTCCGCGGTTTTGAGGTTTTGCAGTTCCTTGAAAGAGATCAAATGAAAAAAAAATTGTGCCAAATGTTTTATTCTGTATGTACAGAGGGCTGGAATAGTATTTAAGACTACAAGAAAAAAAATTGAGAGCGTTCATGTAAGTTTCAGCAAGGACGGAATCATGAGGTTCACTTTGGATAAATGATTGGAATAAATGATTGGAGACAACTCTTCGCTCAATTGTTGATAACTGAGTTCCGTCAAAAAATATATTTTTTGACTAAATAGTAAGAGAACCAAATTCAAACTGCTTGACCGATTGCACTTCGTTTCTGCTTTGAGAAGTGGAATCTTCAGGACTTAATCATCTTCAAGCCGCACAAGTGTTCTCAGTTGGTTGTAATTTGCGTCCACGAGGTGCCTTTCCTGCAATAGAAACCTCATAAGGAGGTTCGGGCAATTTTCTCTGAACTGATAAAAAAACAAATGAGTAAATGATATTCTATTGTTCTCTATGATAATACAAAGATAATTCAATGTTCTTCTCCATGTATTGATACATTAAATATAAAAATTCCAAGCGTTTACTCCCAAACATATGGTGCGATATATTTTATGGAGGACTTCAAATGAGCCAGCTCTCATCTTTTACCAACGCACCCTAAATTGTTTATCACAGCTTAGCACATACATGTAGCTGCAAAATGAAAAATATTGATAAAAAAATCATACTAAGGTTTTTTAGTCCTCTTTCAAGACGCAACTCTAAACTGATAAAGGAATGAGACCGCATCCGACTGGGAAAGAAAAAGTCAGTTGCGTTTATGAATAAGATTCCAACCTTACAATCTTTGCTTTCTCGACTGGAACTTAAGAGCGAAAATGAAACTAAAAAGAACTACATCCAAAAAAATAGTTGAAAAGACGACTTTTTACCTTTAAATAGCAACTTTAAACGATTCTGCAAACGGTACGGAAATCATGTAAAGAGGTTTGCCGCGTTTTACGTTAAGAGAGAGTCGAAATACTAGAGTAATAGAACGGATAAAGACGTATGTTCTCTAGTTTATCTTTGCTTTTACATACCGAAACGTGTGCAATCAAATGCAGTTTTGTTTCCATTAGGATAAGTGTGTTTTTTAGGTCCCTCTGTGTGCACGCCCCGCGTGCTCGAGTCTGGGACATTTCGATTAGCTCATATTGTATGGTAATAGCTTTAATTTTGCTCATTGTATTTTAGTTTTTACGAGCTTTCAAATGTAATAAATATCTTGAGATTGATAGTCGCTTGGAGCTTTCCTTGATATAAAACATTCCTCCGAAGCGGTGTAGTTAGAATCGATTAATGTCAGCGTCCACCCCGTTACAAGAAATGATTCCGCGAATCGGACGAGTAATTCCTTTAAGTAGTAAATATGTGTTATTCGCCAGCTTAGAGGTCCATATCGGACTCAAGACTTTGGGCACAGGTTTTCCCAATACGAACCGACCTAGGCGGGTGAATAATATTTTTACTTTTTTTCCTTAAACATAACGAAATTCTCTCCAAAAGAACCCGAATGATTTAGGGCTGTAATGAATGCAATATCTTCCATAAACTGAACAAATTTTGGGTGGTAGTTAAAATAGAGGAAATGCAAATTAAAGAGAGAGGCTTCACCGAGACATTTTTGTTTGCGTAATGATAAAGGTGAGATTTAAATGGCTTTCACAAACTTTGAAACATTATTTTTAGAAGTATCTGTCACAATCTGACATCTGTCAACTAGAGAGCGCGTAAGAAAAAAAAAACAAAAAAAACGGGAGCACAATTTTTAAAAAAACAACGGAACTAGTTCGGACAGGGCTGTCACGACAATGTTTCCTTCAAAAACAGTAAATGATCTTACGGAAATTATTATCAAAGCTCATCGACAATTAGTAAATGTACGAAGATTTACCATTGTTCAGTAAGTAGATGGCTAGGAAAGTAACTGTAAGTAAATTCAATTTTTTGAAGCTATTTTGAAGTTGTGAGAGTTTGTTCGTTTGTTTTAGGCCACTTGTCAACCAATTTAAGGACACTTTTGCTTACACAAAGTGATTCGAGAGAGAGAAAAGAGAGGATTACTAAGTCATTTATCGGCTCATGGGAAAATACAGACCGTGCTAAGAACCAATCATATCACAGGATGTATTATCGTGCCCTCTGAGAAAAAAAAAATTATCATCTCACAAAATCTGAAAACAACTTGCAAAACTCAGATAATCTACTGCAGCTTGATATTCTTCGTTGACATAGAAATCGGCACCCTATCGAGTATTATGTAAATTGTGACTCACAATATAAACTATGAATAGTTTTGGAGAATTTTCAGGCAACAAATTTTAATCAAAATTTGATTGCATTATGATTATCATGTCTGCATCTGGTTCGCAAACAGTTTTTTTTAAAGAAACCTCGGTTTTTTTCCTTTTCAAGGTAGACTGTCGTTAGGCAAGAATATAATTATAACATTTTCCTGTGGGATCCTATCCTCTTTATTTTCAGGTTCAATACAAACACAGAGGTATGTATTGGCTATTCGAAATTTAAGATTTCTTTTTCTCGCTTCTACCATGGAATTTGTCAGAGCTAATGATCAATGCAGAACAGAAGTAAACATACAAGGAGTGGCTTTCAAGCGCTCTGTCTTTAAAAGCTGGTCAGTGGCGGCTCCTCATCTTTGCGATGTCAAATGTGGAGAAGAGATCACGTGCCAAAGCTATAACTACAACAGAAAATACCAAATAAGTGAACTAAATAACCGCACCAAGGAGGCAAGACCCGAGAATTTCCTTTCAGCGCCCGCGTGGTTTTATATCAGGCGATTGAACGGCAGAGGTAAGAAATCAGAAGTGGATTTTTGTTTCTCTAGATTTTCTCCACACATAGCCAACCTTGTTCTCTCTCACTTGTGATTACGAAATATTAAAAAAAGAAAACAAATCTCATATTTCTACTGCCCCCCCTTGGGTTCTATTTTTAAATTACCGGCGATATCCTGTCTCGAAATAAAGGCGAGTGAAGGTAAAAACACCATCCGCGGCAAGTATTGGCTGAATCCAACAGGAACCGGGAAGGCAATATTGATTAACTGTGAGATGGCTTGCAGGGGTAGGTCTTAAAATTTTCTTTACGCATTAACTTATTTTTACCACAAAATTATACGAATATTATTTTTAGT